TCCCTCCTCCTCCTCCCCTCCCTCCCCTCCCCTCCCTCCTCCTCCTCCTCCTCCTCCTCCTCCTCCTCCTCCTCCTCCTCCTCCTCCTCCTTAGCCTTCTCTTCTTCTTGTTCTTCTCTTCCAAATTGTAGGCAAGGTAGCCCATAGGAACAGAGAGGCAGGTAGGCAGGCAGTCTTTCCGCCTTTTTGCTTTCTTTTCTTTTCTTTTTTTTGACATAGCAACGTATAAGAGAAAGAGAAAGAAAGAAAAAAAAAAACAAAGCAAAAAGGATATTTATTATTAGTAAAAACCATACTTATACCAGACAGGTATACACATACATCATTACACACTTACTCACCATACATATATACACAATAGTAAATAATGAATTGAATGAATACCTCTCAAAATCTCTCTTAACTTCTCAAGGTAAAGTAAAGATAGATAAAAGGTACCACTAATCATCTTCATCTTAAGGTAGGTATAATTTCCCTTCTTTTTCATAACCACGTAATTGTAAAAAATTAAAAACCTCACAAGAAACCTCCCACATACACACACAACACCTCTGAATTAAGGTTACCTTTTCAACTACCTACTTCTCTCCTCTCCTCTCCTCTTCTCTTCTCCGAAAAAGAACCCCCCTTCTCCCTATTCATCCTATCCTCCCATCTCCAGCAACTTAAGAAGCCGCAGCAAGAATAGCCTGACACATAGTCCCGACAGTGTTCGTCTTACCCGATCCACCAAGGACAGCATCCACGACAATCGACACATCAACATCGATACCGACCGAAGTGGCCAAGTTCAGCATGGCATTGACAACAGCGCTAATTTGGACTTCGGCATCCAAGTCCAAATCGATGTCGAGAGCAGCTTGGATGCGAGCGAAGAGGTCGAGGTCGGCGTCGATTTTGGCCTTGAGGTCAAGGTCCAAATCGAGGTCGGCGTCGAGGGAAATGTTGATGATGGCGTCCAGGACGGCTTCGATGTCGATGGAGACGTCGGCGCCGATGGCGGCGCGGATTGAGGCGTCGAGGTTCTGGGGAGAGACAGTGTTAGAGACAAGTGTTGCTTTTTTTGTTGTTGGCGTAGAGGGGGATGGATTCAACTTACAGCGTCAACGTCGATGCCAATGGCAGCCTTGATCATGGCGTCAATGGCAAGAGCGACATCAATGTCAGCCTTGATGTCAAGACCAGCAGAGACAGCAGCCTTGATCTTAGCTCCGATGTCGAGATCGATGCTGAGGTCGGCGTCCTAGAAGGCAAAAAAAGTAAAGGTCAGTCACAACCCCCATACAATAATAAAAAGGGCTCTTCTTTCGAAGCATTCAATTCCCCCTCTTCTTCAGTGGTAATACATACAACATCAATGTCGGTAGCCAAATCAATAATGGCATCCACAGTGGCATCGATATCGAGGTTGATACCCAAGTCCAGACCAAGGCTCAGATCCAGACCGAGGTCGATGTCAAGACCAACACCATCATCCTCCTTGGTAGGTACGGGCACAGGCTTGATGTCCGAACCAGGCTTGTAGGTGTTGATCAACGTGGGCTCATCGACCGTGACGTATTGTGCTGGCGCAGTGCTGTAGCCCGCAGGAGCGGCGACTGCGAGAGCTGCGAAAGCAGCGGCGAAGAGTGGGTACTGCATCTTGTTCGTTTGTTTTGTTCTTTTGTTCTTCTTGAAGGAGAGAAAAGCAGGAGGGACACGCCGGTGAACGATTGGGGTGAGGTGTGAGGAAAGCGAGTGTAGAAGGGGAAAATGGAGATGTGTTGGTCGTGCGGAAGGTAGTTTAAACGAGTGACTGCAGGTTGGAAAAGTGTGTTTTTAAGAAAAGGAAAAAGTAACGCAAGTGAAGGGGGGAAAAGAGTTATACTCTTTCAATTGCTCGAGGTTCATGACCCCCTTCGTGCTATCGCCGCATGGTGTGCACGTTCATAGATGGACACCACCATGGCGCCACGGCCCTATTGGTCGTTCAAGAAGCAGTAATCACGGGTAGTGAGATTTGCATCGAAAGTAGCATTGGTGATCATTGGTATGCCGAAAAGGACATCGTCGGGACGTGCGGCCAGCTGAGCGCTGCATCGGGCGATAGCTCACGCGCTATAAGGGCATGACAGCAATCAGCTCTCCCTGTTCTGTGAACCCTGTGGGTATGGTCGACGAGTTTAGCAGTCGGAAATCTGACCAGCATTGATCACATTTTACCAACATTCCCCCCCACTCCGTCCTTCCCTATCCGTCCTGGAGAGATACGGTACGGTGTCCCTTCAGTCCATGGAAGTCGTCATCTATACACGCAAGAACAACTGGACCGAGTTGCTCCATTGCCTTTCAATCGCAATTCATAAGGCGGATGAGGCCATCACATTTTGCAGATATGTGGTATGTGCTCGTGTCCGTCACACTTGGTAAGACTAGTGGGAGATTCCTCCTGCTAGCGTGATGTGGAGGCCCTAATGACCCTGGCTGGATCCGGAATAGGGGTCTTGATGTCTCATGGTATGTCGCATTGAGATTTTGGAACTTGATGCCATGGCAGGCGAGATGTCTCTCATCGAGCAGGATAGCACTCAGGCTGTTGGGAGGTCTGCGGTATGGTCTGGTCAGAACATATTGTCGAAGCCATCGAAAGTGCCAGCTGAATACATGTTACGAATATGTTGAGCGGATGTGTCAACATACCTGTATTGTTGGGTCCGTATAGCGAAAGCATGGAGTGCATGCTCATGCAATCATAATCTACGCCCGGGAAGTGAAGACCCGCAGTCTGGGTACAATACCTTGTAGATGGCATGGCGGATAGTGAGATGGTGCTCATCCGATAAGTGGATATTTCTGGTCGTCCCCAGGAACGGATTCATTGGCCGGAAAGCAGCCGCAAAGGCAGAGTCAGGGTTTCGCTGACTTGACCCTCGACGGATCGCCCGTGGGATAAAGTCGGCATCCACCATTGGGCACATCCAGAATTGCCTGTGTACGGCGAGTTCGTTACCCCTTGCAGGCGTGGCCAGGCGATGCCCAACCAGAATGAGTTGTGTACGATTAGACAAGGTGTCCATGCAGCGATAGTAAGTAGCCTAGTAGTACGCAAGCTTATTAGTGCACTACTACCAAAAGAGTCCGTCAGCAATTTAAAAAGAAAAACCAAAAATGCCCTCCCATGAACCAATACGGCCACAAGCGGACTTGCCAACATCTGCTTCCAGCACCCCCGCCCCCTGACAGGTCCCATAGTGCGAGATGCAAAGAGGATGCCCTGATATATTTATTTTTTTCCGCGCCGACATTGTTTTGGGGGGGAAGAAAGCTGCGCCTTGTTGCCATGTGTTGGTTTATCCAAGGCGGCAAGATTCCGACCTTCAGCCTCGCCTGATTCGCCATTCCAGGAGGACTTTTGCCGCTGCGGTCCAAGACATAGGTCTAGATCCATCATTCATATCGTCGTCCATGATAAAGCCAACGGCAAAACAGATGGCGTGATGGATGTCTCTGCCGCTGTGGTTGCACCGCATCACAGTAGTAATCGACTGATATGCGCCGTGGTCAGCCTGCTAGTCCAGTATGCGACACGCCGCCGGCCAAGATGTCCCCCCAAAGGATATAGCACACGACATGATATCTGTGAAGCGACGGGGCCAGGTGTGGTTGATGAAGTTGGAGAGAAGTGGACAAACAAGCACGAGAGGCGCACAAAGAAGTTCTAAATGGACTTTCTGAAGCGCCAAGCAAATTAAACCTTCGCCTCGCTTTTAATATGAAGGATGAGCAATACGAGTCAAAAACATGTTGTGACCAGCATTGATTACCACGGGCGATACGACCGGTTGTTGGGACCAGCATTGCTGAGTTGATTCATAAGCACCGTTCAGAGACGAGAAGAGAGAGAGAAGTGCTCAAGTAAGGAGGTAATGAAGAAGAAGATGAAGAAGAAGAAGAAGAAAGAGAAGAAGAAGAAGAAGAAGAAGAGGTCAGTCATGCTATCGGAGGTTGTGCTATTGCTGAGAATCCAATTGCAAGAGCGTTGGCATGATATAGTTCCAGGCTTCCAATGCTATAGTGTTGCTACTTGTCGCTCCAAGGGGAATGTTTGAAGAAGAAAGCCCGAATCCCTGTCGATTCCCAGTATAAAGATGGCCAGATATTGACGGAGATGGCAGTGCAGTCATCGATCCCTGATGTTGCACCCATTCGTGTGTCCAGGAAGTCGCTCGGCGAGGATTCAAAGACAGTCAACATCTCAAGCATGGCACTTGGTCGAAACCGGCAAGAAGCGACTCTTCGTGATGGCAGAAAGCTCATCCACGAATGTCTTCTCCAGCGGAGCAGTGGTAGTGGCGCTTTTCGTGCCTGGCAGTGCCGCTTCGTTGTCCTTCTCCTCGGGAGAGGACTCATCATTCTCGCTGTTCATATCGACCACTATATCGCTCGGACTGAGCAGGCCCATGTCAGGAGATCTGACCTGGTTCCTGTTGCTGGTTGATACAGAGGAGCCAAACGATCGGTCCGAGAGCTCGTGCAACGATGGCCGCTCTGACTGGTCGGCAGAGCTACTGCCTCGTGATGGAGACGCAACCAAGATGTCCCTCGTTCGCAGGTGTTTCTTCATCGGACCAGCAGTCAATTCCATGGCGCGCCTACCCTGCCGCCGATACCGATCACGCCTCGACTGCTTGCACACCAGGAGGGGGCTGAAAGCGGCGTATATGTCCATCCTCAGAACAGCATGATCGGGTGAGCCGGGGTAGCAGCGATGCCTGGCGTCGAAGAACGTCCGCGGTATGCGAGTGATGAACTCGGACTTGTTGATCGAGGTATGCATGTCGCCGATACAGGTGAAGGCGTAGACTGTGGACGCCGTTGATCGACTTGCGAGACACCGAGGATGAACAACGAGTGGTCTCGCCCAAAACTTGGCTTCGTTCTTCCAATCTCGAGGCAATTGCTCGGTCAGTGTCACCATCGCTTGCTTGAATACCGCTGCAAACTGAGTTTCATCGAGCGAACCATGTTCCCCTGGACGCTCCTCGCAGTCGTCGCAGAATGCAATGCACTGCGGAACACGACATCCATCCATGCTGTCCAGAAACGCGGCTTGCCATTGCGAAGGCCCGCTCGTCAGGAGTTGGACATCCGGCAGCTGGTCCTGATTGTTCTTCTGCACCGCAACGTCAAATCCTTTGTGGTTGGGCTTGGGCATCATGGCGAAGAATGCGAGGTATGTTCCGGACTGTTCTGTGTTGGTCATATTCTGGGCGTAACGTCGGAGGTCACGCAGGTGAGCTTCCAAAGTGACTTGTGGTATCTGCATGGCGTGGGCGATGGTCCTGCTCACATGCTGTGTGCCCGCAAGTCGAAATCCAGAGTTCAACAGCCGCTCAGTCTCGCCCGGAATCAGTTCGCGAGCAATGAACAAGACCTGGCCTTTGCCAAATATGCTCGCACGAAGGGCGGCTTCCACTCCGGCCATGGTTCTCTGATCGAAGAACGTGCTGGCCCTGCTCTTCTTGTCGACAGGCAACGTGCCAGTTTCAATGACTTTGTCATACAGGACACCCAAGTGCTCGAGTGGTATGTCCATTGATTGAGCCAGCCACGATGCCGCCGTGCAGAAGCGTTCCCGAAAGATCAGCTCATAGTTGCTGTACGTATGGGCATCGTACAACGCACTCGATCGCGAGCTCGCAACCTTGGGCTCTGGACTCGGTTCTGTCCGTAGACTTGCCTGTTCGGCCGCCAAATGACTCCTCATATACGGTATCAGGTCACTGACAGCAACCCAGTTGTGCGTCAAGCGGAAGATCCATTGGAATACGGGGTGCGAAATGTCAAACTCCTCGTCGAAAGTCCGGTGCAGGTATTTATCAGTAATCTCCTGTGATGGCAGTACTCCTTCTGTCGTAACCAAGACTTTGCTGCCATCAGGAGCGAACATTGCACATGCGAGCATAATCTTCTGCGACCTGCTTTTCAGTAGCCGAGTCCGAGCGCGGGCGAGCACAAGCACTGCCAGGACCATGAGCGCAGCTGTACCGCAACATACGCCGGAAATGATAATTTGGTTGTCTCGATTTCTGATTTCTGATGGGGTATTGGAGCGCCGGAACTCGTACTCGCAACGACAGGAGGCAGTGAAGTGCATGGCCGAAATGCCTCCAGCCAATGTCAAAGCGCATCCGACGCGCTTCCACCACGAGCTGATCCATTTTTCTCTGAGATGGTAGAATAGTGCCAGGACTGCCAGGCAGTCCCCGATCGCGATGAGAACGGACGCGGCGAGGAACCGACCGCTGTATTTGAGCTTGTAGTTTGTGACACCCAAGTTGCCCAGATAATGCATGCTTCACAGGCACATCAGTAGTCATGCAGCCAAAGTGAGGAGGTCCCGAATCGACGTACCTGACAATGGAGAGCCCAGCAAATACCCCCGTCAAGAAAAGCGCCATGCAGTGAATGTACCAATGCTTCACATGTAGCTCTGCGGTGGAAAAAGCAATCGTCAATCCAAAAATCGGCAGAAACACCGATAACACGGTGTAGCCTGGGCTATAGACCAGCTGATACTCTGGAAGTCCATGGCCCAGGACGATGGCGTGGTTGCCTATAAAGTGCATACACCAGATTCCGACCAAACCCAAGGAGATTGAGCAGCCAATGGTCTGCGCCCTGGTGGAATCACATCAGCTACGACGATCATCGCGAGGTTCATGTCGGACTTACCAGCTTCTGAGACTTCCCAGAGCTGTGACTCGGCGATGGAGTAGTTCGATGGTCAACACACATCCTGTGACGCTGGCGACGACCGAGGCTGCCACAATGCCAGCGCTAAACGTGCTAGGAACCAAGTCTCCAGCGCTGTATTCTGCCATTGCTGATGGTCCGTCAATCGAGACGAGAGAAAGAGGTGTTGTTGGTCATGCCTGTGCAAGGCGCGGTGCCCAGCCAAGCTCATAGCTACAGCAGTCCGGCTGCGTCGTGGCAGATGTCGACTAACTCCTTACTGATGAGGCTGTATCCTGGCCCTGATCTCGAATCTAGACACAGGGTTTAGATTATAGGAGTCTGGGAAAGAGTCCGTCCGCCCGCCGCTATGGAGATCGGGCGAAGGGCTGTCAGCGAGGATGAAAGTAGGAATATGTTGCTCAGGGAAGCTGGAGCGTAACGAGCATGAGGTGTAGTCCCAGCGCGATGATTAGCGCTCCCAGGATGAACGATGGGTATGGACCAATGTTCTTGCAAAGGGGCCGGAGGAGATGCAGTAGCAAGATCGAAGTAGAAGCAGACATGGTCGAGCGCAGGTGCGTCTTGGGCGAGGTCGTTATAAGGCAAGAGAATTCACTATTCACATCCAGTGTACAGAAGGAATTAAGCAACTTCCAGACGTCGAGACTTGCCAAGCAAAGACTCAACCATTTTTACCTCCAAGAGCCTCACAAAAGGAGGTTGCATTCCAGATGGTCTTTTGGTTGGCTACGAGGACATGAAGAACCCAGTATACTGCATCAACAACATCAGTGCCAGTTTTGTGTGTATGGAAGATGCAACGAATCGTTCCTAGGCTCATCATAATCCTGGGCTAGATGTAGAGAGATGGATGCACCGATACTGGTCACATGGAAGATGAGGAAGAGGAAGAGGAGGAGGAGGAGGAAGAGGAAGAAGAAGAGGAAGAGGAGTCTAGTTAACCATCAGAGCCGAAGAGCCGCCAAACCGTCCTAAAGTCGTAAAATTCTGAAATCCTCTATTGAGTCTGACAGTCTGTTGACTCTGTTCCATTGCAGGCATACCTAAGGTCCCACAGGACTCTGACTGTGTGTAAGACATGTTTGTACCTATACTACAGCCTACAGGTACCAGGTACCAGGTATATATTTGCCATATCTCCTACATAATACATTTGACTGCACCCATCTGATATACTTCTATTGCCTGGTATTCAACACCAAATACAAATATACGAACATTTATACCTACCTATGCATACACATATATATACTATACCCACGGCCACGGCCACGGGCTACCCTTTCGGTACGCTCACAAATATCGGATTCCAGTATTTCAAGGAGTTTGGATTACAGGACTTTACGCTTGAGGATTTTCCGGATTTGGTCTTGGCGCCTCTCTTGCGGCGTCTTGCCACAGACATCTCTTCGCTCTCATACTCTCATACTCTCATACTCTCATACTCCCACACTCCTGGCCATCAACATCAATGGCGCATTATCGACAACAACACCCCGTGAATTACAATGCTGCGCAAGTCGCCAGAACAAAGCCGAGCCGGTACGACAGACTGTCAACAATGGACAATGGAACAAACACCATGTTCTTTGTTACGGTAGCTTGGAGGCAACAATAACATTGTTGACAGTCTTCCTCCCTCAATCCACTGTTACAGCACAATAGAACCTCTGTTCGAGAGTGCAGGAACAAGAGCATTGTTGGCAACCGATCACACCGTGTCGTATTCACTCCTCCAGGTATATAAGATGGCACTGAAGTCGACATTCTGCCAGTCATTAGAACTCAACACACACACCAAACACACACACACACACACACACACACACACAGACACACACACACACAGACACACAGACACACACACACACACACACACACACACACACACACACACACACACACACAGATACAGACACAGAGACAGACACGCAGTCCCAAGATGTCTCAACAGCCACTCAAGTCATGCCTGAAAAAGGCACCAGCACCACCAGTATCAGCACCACCAGGACCACCCGCACCACCAGGACCATCAAAATCAGAAGACTCATGGTCATCATCGTCGTCCGCACCCTCAGTTGGCTTCACACCCATCAAGTTGGTCCGCTTCGCGGTCAACCAGAATGGATGTGGTTTCCCAACCACTGCCCGCGAAGAGCTCTGCCGCCGCCACCCGCATTACGTCCCTGGCAAATATGCGGACACGACCGGACAGGGTTTCGAGAACACCTCGAACCCGTTCCGCGACCCAGACTGTGAGTTTGTTCCTGTAGGCGAGGACAAACCATCCAAGGCTCGGGCTGAGGCTTCGAGCTCCAATACTGCCGAGCCTTCGAGCTCGCAGACCCCAGGAGCCGCCAACAAAGACAATGAAGAGGACCCAGATGCTGACTTGGACGCCCTGAGCCTGAAACAGCTCGAAGAAAAGACCAAGCAGCTGGAGGCGCGGCTCGCTGCATTCAAGTAAGTGACGAGAGAGATTTTCTCTGTCATCAATCCCCTATCCCTCCCCTTGCTTGAAGACCAAAAGAAGCATTGCAAGTTGCTTCGACTCTCTCGCTCTCTCTGCACCTAGAAGACGACGACTCGGGGGCCCATCAACCCAAAATTCCCCCGCAGCAAAACCGTAAGTCTTGTTCTCTTCTTCTTCTACACAGATATATACAGATATATACACAGATATATATACAGATATATACACAGATATATATACAGATATATACACAGATATATATACAGATATATACACAGATATATATATACAGATATATACACAGATATATATATACAGATATATACTCAAATATATACTCAAATATATACTCAAATATATACTCAAATATATACTCAAATATATACTCAAATATATACTCAAATATATACTCAAATATATACACAAATATATTCATAAATATACTCACAAATATACTCACAAATATATACACAAATATATACACAAATATATACACAAATATATATACAAATATATATACAAATATATACCCAAATATATATACAAATATATATACAAATATATACAGAAATAATTCCGCCGGCGCGCGGGAAATAGACATTTTCTCTCTATTCCTTTCTATCCTTTCCTTTCTTTTCCTTCTCGTATGTATATGCTAGTTACGAGATCTAGATGCCCCCCCTCCAATGAGAAAAGTAGTCCCCTTGAAAAAATAAAGAAGAATCACCAAAAACAGAAAAAAAAAGAAAAAAGAAGAAGCCCCTTGAACGAGAGCCTCTTTCTACAACCCATACCATTTTCTTCAATCTTCATACCGCTACTATAAGCTAAACCTCGAACCTCTGGGTTGATAGCATCCTCATCCATCCCTAGCCCATTCCATCAACCTGTCAGGTAGCCTAAGATCTCCCCATCTCTCTCCCCCCTTCCAATCTTGATACTCTACACCTTTCCTTTCCTTTCCCTTCCTTCCCGGTCGATTCCTCCCCAATTTCCCAACCTCCCGTATCTCTACACCTCAGTCACCGGGTCCGGTCACGGGTTACGGACCGTTACAAAACCGTTACAGACAGCTATAGCGACAGTTACAGTTACAGTTACGACTGCGTCAACATGGCAACGGCAACGGTAAGAACTTACCTATAGATGTCTCATCCGATACTTTTGACTTCTTCTTCTTCAGGATGTATAGTACCTACCTAGCTAGGTAATCAATAGGTTTCTCGAGGATATAGAGATATATATATAACTAATAAGGAAAAATGACCTAGTACAGTTTTAGGGAGGTGATTTACTTGATCCAAGTAAGACTGATGAGTACATTAATTATATCAATTGTATCTCGAGTGTGATGTATATTCTTCTTTGTTTTTTGGTTTCTATCTTCTGTTTCGACGCAAGACTCTCTGAATTACTTGTAACTATTACTGTCGGAGACAAGTATTCTCGCGATGTATGGTCATCAATTCATCGTGGGGCCTGGAGGAACACACTCCTCGGGTGTTTGGGTGCAGCTGTAAATATCCCATGCGACACACGCATCCTCTGCATTCTCCTGTTCTTCTTCTCCTTCTTCTTCTTTTCTTCCTATGTACAAAACATCTACGATTAAAATTTAAGCAGCTTCCAAGTGACCTAGTACGACGGGGGTCCATATTGCGTCTCACTAGCACCACCGGCCATGTCCTGGGTGATGCCCAAAAGCTCAATGAAAGGAGAATAGACTGGGAAAGATTTGGCATCAGCTGCTGGCTGAGCGGATGATGTGACAACGGTGACGACGAAGCCGGGAATGGTGGATGGGTCGACGCTGGAACCATCCTTGGCAATACGCCATTGCAGATTCTCCTTGAGGTAAGGAGCCACAACAAGCTCTGAAAGACTGCCAAGCACACCGCTTCCGAACAGCGACGTCAGCTTGGTGGTCAAAGGGATCGAACTGGATGTGATGAGGGACATGTTCATGCCAGAACCAGACATCTCTTGAGCTAGGACACCCATGGGGCCATACAGGTTGGGGTCTGTGGGCCAGGTCTTGACGTCCTCGCTGACGGGGTTTCCATTGAACAAGAAAATTGTGTATGAGCCCCCAAGCGCATAGCGAGCAGTCTTGATGTTGGCAACGTATTGGTACAACGAGCCGTTCGAAGCTTTCAATGGATTGTCGGCGAGGATGTCACCCAGCGACGACAGGATATTTGGCTCATCCAGCACCTTTGACACTCCCCCCAGCAAGCTTGGATCCGCTGCGGCCTCACGCTTGGAAGAACCAGCAGTAGCAGATGGGTTGGGTCCGTAGAGTGCGTTCACGTAGCCAGTGATAGCGCCCGCGCTGCCATCGCTGTTGGAGAACTCTGGGTACGTGTAGCCGAACTGTCTCCAATCTCTGACCTGGTTGGTGGTCCAGAAGCTGGTACTAGTGCCGGGTCTTCTGAAAGGTCGGAGGCCTGAGGTGGGGCCCTGGTTCGAGCCCTGGGCGACGGTCCAAGTGTTGTGTGGTGCGATTTGACTTGCGCCATAAGAGTTGGAGTGAATCGTCTGCCACATTGCAGCAAGACGGTCCACGTTGGCGTGGTGAAGCCAGAAGATTGGGTCGTATGATGCAGTGGAAAGGTAGGTCATGTGACCGCCAGAGATTCCATTGCCTCCGAGACCGCCAGCATTGTTGTGCACAGTGTTGTGAATCGCCTCCAAACTGTTCGAGCATCGGCCGGAGCTATCACTCGAGTCGTCGTTGCTGAAGTACAAGTAATTGTCGCATGCAGTGAAAAGCTGGTAAATCTGATCCTGCAAACTCTGACGAGATCCTGCGAACGCAGCCGCGCATTGCGGCGAGTTGTTCGCGGCATTAGGATCATTGCTCTTGGGGTAACGCAGTGTCTTTGTGTAGGTGTTCAACGTGGCATAAAGCAAGCCACTTTGTTCTCCGTTCCTGAATACATATCCATACAAAGGATTCCTGACGGTCTGTTGGCCGTTAGGTCCTTGAAATGTGACACTGCTGTCCGTGATGAGAGTTGGAAGGGCGGGGCCGTTGTTTGGGGGCACTGCAGCCCAGTCGAAGTAGGGGAAGCGCAGGTTGGTCGCGGCATTGACATAACGTTGCCTGGTGGCAGCTGGGAACTGATTGGCCCTGTCAAGTGCAACCTTGAGGAATTCCTGTTCGAAAAGAGCCACGTAGGCACGGTGCCATGCGGGGAACAGAACAGAGTCGTGAGGGCAGTAGCCATCGGCACCTGCACAGGTAGAACACTGTGCGACATCGGCGTAGTTCTGTCTCGGTACTCCGTGAATTGTAGAGATACCGTAGTAGCCAGCTTCGCCTGTAGATTGTGTCATCCAGTAGTCCAGAGCAACCAAGAAGATGTTCCATTGGTCAGGTTGTTGATTTTTCAACTGCCTCACTTCCAGTCGTGGTTGCACAGCGTTGCCTTTGCCGCCCTCGAGTCGAACGTAATTTTGTTGACGGGCCTTGATATCGCTGTGCTCTTCATTGTGCTCCACCGGATGTGCAAAAATCGAAGTGCAGGCAAGTGCCAAAGAAGAAAGCGAAGAGAACTTCATGATGAGAAGATATATATGCAAGGGTACATAGAAATGTCCAATGGGTGCTTCGAAAAACGAGAGTAAATGTGCTCACACCACAGCACGCCTGAAGAGAGAGAACAGGGCAGGAAGCAGAGGACTGAAGGGTATATGAAAGGAGATTACCTTCGATGATCGCAGCGGGATGGCGCTCGCTAGGAAGGCACCGTTGCCCAAGATGGTCGCACTGTGACAAGCGCGCATCGCTCGCTTGATCGGCCATACGGGCTTGTGGCGTAGTGCACTGGAATAAGTCATGCTATGCCGGCTTTGTGACTAGAGTCCGTGTTCGGGACACGGAAGTCCTGAAATAGGGGACTAGATACACTAGTCGCGAGTCATTGGAGTCAAGACTCCATACCTGCGGCGGCTTGGGAACATGTCTTCCCCCGCGAACGATTGACAGTGCGCGCGCGTGTGGCTGCAGTGAGAGAGAGAGAGAGAGAGAGAGAGAGAGCAGAGCGAGCCTCAGCGAGCCGCACGTACTTCCCGATGGGTCTGCATGATTGGTCGAGACGAGTCCTGTTCTTGAGGACTGACTGAGGACATTTCAAGTCGTGTTTGTAACGGAATCACAAACAAGACATCAGGGCGGCGAGCCAGATTGGTGGGCAGTGCGCGCGCGTCCACGGTGAGGAGAGCCTTGCCCTGTCTAGAGAGTTAGCTCAAACCTTGACATATTCTGCCAAAGCTTGTTTCTATATAGCGCAGCGGAAGCCTGTGAATACGTGCTGATAGTCTCACGTTGCGGCCATGGCCGGAGTGATGCCGATCTTTCAAGCGAAGACACAAAATGCAAGCGGACCAACAACGAATGAATTGTCCTCGCGCATCTCGTGTATCTGCTCTCAAGTCTCCACCTCCTGCGACGGATGGCTACCCGCCCGCCGCTGCTCCTGGTCCTGCGCGCGCCCTCCTCTCCTGTCGTCAGTACCTGTAGTCTGGTTGGTGGTACTTCGAGGCGTGCTTCGGACTTCGGTGCCGGGCGGTGATGACTGGCAGCTTATTCGTCTCTACCTGACAGTGCATTGTATCGACGTGGCCAGGCTAGGATCACGACGGCACACATGTCGCAAAGATGGCGCCACGGCCAGAGCGCTCCCACGCGTCTTCGGGGCGCACGCTGCGTGCTTGATGGAGCCACGATCAGAGGCTGTCGCGGTGAACAGCAGAACGGGCAGCAGGCTGCATGGGTGATGACATGTGTGACGGGAGGTCGGAAGAACATGAAGAATGAGAAGAGTTGTTGTAGTGGTACGGCGATTTTTGGCTAGAGGATACCTACCTCCTACCTAAAATAGAAAGCTGAAGATCAATCTTGCCAAGGACAGTTAGTGGGGGCTACCAACTACGGTGCCCTAACCCTCCTACGTCCACCTCCGTACCTCCTATACCTCCTAAATAACAAGTCCAACAACAACTCTCGACGGGAAGACGAGGCGGCTTGCTCACCGATTCCAACAACTTGGATGCAGTGGGTTTGATCCTCCCGCTGCTGCTGAGCTCCTTCATCCACCGCCGACATCATCATCATCATCATCCCTCTGCAGCACTACCATCTTTTTATTGATGTACAACATTGCACTACCTTCCCAATGTGGATGATTATCGCGTGGTCTTTGTAGTACCTCCTAGGTGTAGCGGGCTTGCATAAGGTCGGGAGCTGCTGCATGAGTTACACGCTGGACGTGGGCCACCAAATTCCTGCGCTGGAAGGCTGGAACAGCTGCCAATGACACTTTTACGCACGCATCATGTCGAGATCAGCACCGTTACATGTACAGGTCAGTAGTCACTTACAAGATGGCATCTTCGTAGGTCGCTTTGCACGTTGCGCATCCTAGCTCAGCCCTGCCAGAGGAGCTACAATAGCCTACAGGAGGTAACCGTTGGGAGAAACAACGACGGACGACCGAAGTACTGGGCTCAGTGGGCTGTACCAGCGAAACTTTGCCCTGTTCCTGTTCTCCCCGGGCGGCTAGTAGAATATCACATCCGGAACCCTCCACTCCAGCAAACCTATCGCCGCCAACCGCTCTTCGAATCACCGCCATGGCCCATATCGATGACCTCCACTGGCAATTTGTGCAGGGTGTGATGCTCACAGCTGTCACGAAACGAGATCATGCTATCAATAACACCTTAATGGCAATACCAAGAACGCCCAGACGTGTGCCATCTTGTGGTCAATAAAATTTCGATTGGCGCCAGGTGCAACAAGAGTCTTAGGCTGACCGCCAGGCCTTAAGGGCTTTCTCTCCCATGCCTGAATCTCACCTTTCGTGATTGGCATCATTTGGCAGAGCAGAGCAGAGCAGAGTACAGTTCCTTGGCGATGGAGTTGTCGGCTTTCTCCCCGCTGTCGTCCGTCGGTCGCTCGGCACAGAAGATTTTTTTGGACGTTCATGATTCAAATTATAATAAATTAATTGAAGGATTTGAAGCACCCACGCTGTTGAGAAGGAGTGTTCTGTTGCACGCACAATCAGGTGATCAGTGTGAAGAAGATCTGTGGGCGGACGTCTCGCCTGCACCACGCCATTCGGGAGTGTCTTGCAATGCAATTCGGGTGCTCATAGGAGGTACACGGTAGGCAATTTGCATACCATGGATGTTCAACACGTAGTTCATTACACCCATTGTGCCTCTGATCATTCTGATGTCTTCCGCTCGCTCCTTCCTCGCACGTCCCAGCCCAAACTCGCCTCCCTTTGCCATGGTAGGAAGTAAAAGCGTCACCGACGTAGACCATAGTAGGTATGTACGTCCCGTAGAACTCTCTCTCTCTCTCTCTCTCTCTCTCTC